CTTTCCCTTTGTGTTCGTCATTTTGGTTAATTACTGGAAGATGGCGGTTCCGGCCAAAAGGAGCAGATATATATTTTTTTCATTATTTTATTTTATAGTGCCTTATTTGCATTTAATTGTTGTATATCTTTGTGGGGTGTGATGTGGTTTTTCAAAGTATACATGTAGTGCGATAATCAAATCAAGGATATTACCGTACTCCTCATCTTCAACAGAGTATTACATTAAGTTGTGCACCTTTGATTTTTGTTCTACTAGTTTTTGGATTTTTGTTTTTGTTTTGTTTCATTTTATTATGAAACAATTGGTAACACTCTTTTAAAAAAAAAATTGTGTTGTGGCCAGCAGGTGGCATGGTGATTAAGGACACTGGATTCCCACATTGGTGACCGTTGTTCGAGTCCCAGACCTGGCAGCTTACTTTCTCACTTTCCCTTTCTTGCTCTCTCTCTCTCTCTGACTCTGTCCTTCTCTAGTCAAATTAAAATAAATAGATTAAATTAAATTAAATTAAATAATTCTAATTTAAAAAATACTTATTTAAAAAAAAAAAAACACTCCATTGCGATACACTGTTCCATAATCTATTTACCTTGTCTACATGCATTCTTGTTTCTGTTTAATGTTTTTCCTGAATCACAAACTCCCCAAAAGAAAAACCAGGTATACTGAAATATTATGAGAATCTGGTGAGGTCCCAGTACAGATGAGGGCTCTGTTCCTGTCTTACAGATGGCCAGTCTTCTCATCTTCTAAAATGGTGGGGAAAAAAAGAGCTCTAATCTCCTTCTCAAGGACATTAATCCCAACATGGGAACTCTGTCCTCATGATCTCCTTTAAACCAAGTTACTTCTCAAAGGCCCCACATCCCAATACCATGATATTAGGGATAAGGGTCTCAGTGTAGGAATTTTGAGGGGACAAGAACATGCAGTCCATGGAAACCAGCAGTTAGTGTAATGGCTGTGTCGCTGGACTCCCACGTAGTCGACCGCGGTTCACGTCCCAGACCCGGTGGCTTAAAACTCACACCGGGCATGTGTGTGTGCGTGCCCAGGATCCCGAGAGGAGAATAGAGGAGAAGGGATTGCAGCGTGATTATCCCCCCTGGGGGGTGATTTCTTGTTTTCTGTCTCTATGTCTCTCTCTGCCTGTCTGGTGAGCGCACGCGCCCTATAGCGAAAACCTCTCCCAAAAAAAAGAACATGCAGTCCATGTCAGTGGTTTATTACCTATCTTTATAAATGAAGAAAATATAAACCTAGTTAGATAAAAATGTAAATTTTTTGAGAGAGATTTTTGTTATTGGGCATGTGTGGTTGCTGGAGAGACAGAGAGAGACAAGGAGACAGGAAGTGAGAAATCACCCTCTTCTGTGGGGGTATGGTCACACTGCACTCTGTTCTCCATTTTCCTCTTGGAGTCTTGGGCATGCATGCACATGGTCCCAGAGTGATTTTAAGCCACCAGGTCCAAGACTCTGACCACGGTAAACTACATGGGAGTCCAGTGATGTAACCGTTAAAGCTATCTGCCGGTCACAAGATGTAATTTTTTTAAAAGAATTATTTATTTCATTGTATTTATTATCATTACTTTTTAAGTTGTCCAAGAGAGACAGAGGCGGAGAATGAAAGTGAGAAAACAAGCCATCAAGTCTGGTGCTCAAATCGGCCCTGTGGGATCCAGTGCCTTAACCACCATGACACCTTCTGCCCCCCCACAAGATATACTTTTTTAACATCCAAGTTAATAGGCCCCCCCTTTTTTTTTCTTAAGCTAGAAAAGAGAAAATAGCACTTAAAATGTTTGCAACAATTTATTTAGAACACTGCTAAGTAGTAACTATAAATTTACTTATACAAAAAGTTCATTCTGACTTTTTTTATAGACTTTTGGAGGGCCTACCAAATGTAATATTAAACTATTGAAGAGAAATGTAAGCCCAGAAATCTCAGAAACCCTAAAGGTTGGGACTGGTTACCCAAATGCTATTGATAAGGTAAAAGAACAGTTAGTTTCTCTTCCCAAACCTTAATACCTGGGAAGATAACTGACTGAAAATTAAATGACCATTTTTATATATAGAACTAGCTTTTTCTGTAGTCTTGTGTTTGTTATCATCATGCATAAAATCTTTACTCCTTTAGCCTAACTCTGGAATTCAGAACTTTTTAGCATCCTTGAATATCTCCAAAGAAAATGAAGTTCAGTCATCTCATCATGGAGAGCCTCAAAATGAAGAGCATCTGTCACCACAGTCATTTGCAATGGTTTGTATTTTGTAGGCGCTTTCATACCATGCTAACTTGCTGTCTCTGGGCATGTAGACGTAACCCCATACAATGGTTCAAACACTTCCTTCATGTAGGCTGGTGTGTTTGCATCACTGTCATCATCCTATAAGGAAAACCATTCTGCACTAAGTGTTTAGTTACCTTTTTTCTTTTATAAACTTTTTTGTAAAAGAATTATTTTTTATTTAATTTTACTCACTGTCATTTTTTAAAAATAACTGTTATTTAACTTTATTTATTTATTTATTGTAATTGGACCAGAGAGGGACAGAGTGAGAGAGAGAGAAAGAGCAAGAGATAGAAAGTGAGAAAGCAAGCCGCCAGGTCTGGGACTCAACCCACAGTTGGCTGTGGCAGTCCAGAGCTCTTAACCACCATGCCACCTACCAGCCCCTATTTTTTTTTTTAAGTGATCAGAGACAGCAAGAGAGAGAGAAGGAAAGTGAGAAAGCAAACTGCCAGGTCCGGGACTCAACCATGGTCAGCCAAGTGGGAGTCCAGCCACCTTAACTACCATGCCACCTGCCAGCCCCTGCTTTTTTAAACTTTTGACTATAGGTCTCCTGCCTTTCCCACTTTGCTATTAGGTAACTGGACTAATAGCTAAGCAGAGGGTAAGTGTTGCTTCTACACTTATATTTTAGTCTGTTTTATGCTACTATGTCAGATACCTGAGACTGGGCATTTTATAATGAATAGAAATTTGGGACCAGCAGATGACGTAATGTTTATGTCGCTGGACTCCCATGTAGTTGATCACGGTTTTAGTTACGGACCCGGCGACTTGAAAATCATACCATGTGTATGTGCATATGTGCCCAAGTTCCCAAGAGGAGAGTAGAGAAGAAGGGACTGTGGCATGGCCATCCCTCCTGGTGGGTGATTTCTCACTTTCTGTCTCTCGGTCTCTCCAGCAAGTGCATGTGCCTTATAGCAAAAATCTCCCTCTCTAAAATAAATAAATAAATAAGTAAAACTGTATTTGGTTTATGGTTCTAGAGGCTGGGAAGTCCACGATCAAGGTGCTGCATCTAGTGAGGGCTTTTGGTACATCATCCTACAGCATTAGGCAGAAAGGCAAGAAAGAGCCCCTCAAAAAAAACAGAAAGAAGAACACGGAAGTTGGGGAAGAAAAAAGGGCAGGAGGGAGATTGAACTCATTCAGTAACAGTATTCATTCATTCATGAGAGCTCTGCCTTCATAACCACTTCAAGGTCTCACTTCTCAACACTATTGCCTTGAACACACGAACTTTTGGGAGAACACATTCAAATCATAGAAATCTAGAAAAGTGATTTTTTTTCCCTTCAGCCCTTTACTGTTTCTTTTCTGCCTTTTTTTTTTAAAGAAGTATTTATTTTATTTGTTATTTTTATTTTTAATTTGACCAGAGAGAGAGAGAGAGAAAGGAAAGGTAAGAAACAAGCCTCCAGGTCCAGAAATCAAAACGTGGTTGGCCATGTGGGAGTCCAGCGCCCTAACCACCGTGCCACCAGCTGGCCCAACTGTTTATTTTCTTTACTCTCTATCTGAAGATAGTTAGCATATTAACTTGTTTAAATTTGCCACAGGGCATGCACATTCCCCAGAGAGAAAGAGAGAAAGGGAGAAATCACCCCCCACCACCCAACCACCCCGCTCCCCCACCCCCACTACCCCACCCGTCAGCCACAATCCCTCTTTTTCTGTTTCTCCTGCCTGCTGAGATTTTGATCATACCCCCACGATTCCGAGCTCCTGAGTGCAGAACTCAAGCCACACAGTCAGCTGCCTTTGTCACCATGCCACCAGCTGGCCCAGCGTATTAATTTTTAACAGTGGAACTCTTCAAAAGAAAGAGCAATAAGCACTGTAAATCTAATGTTTACTTTCCTCTTCTCACCCCCACCATCTTGATATGAATCATATTTTTAAAAGAAGGGAACGCGGATGCTTAAAGAAATTCTAAAAATCGATGGCTCGGACACCGTGGATCATAAGAATGAAATAAAACAGTTTGGTAATGAAATCACTGTTTCCTCTAATAGAAGAGATGAATATGTACCATCCTCGCACCCTAAACAAAATAAGAAATTAGGTAAGTAAACTAAGTACTGTTACTAATAATTAATCTCATTTCAAAATCAGTTCATTCCATTATTCTTATCATGTGCTTTTTAAAGACAAAACTATTTCTATTTCTGAAAGAGTATAATTTTTATATTTGTGTCAGCTATGCAGTGATTTAACTATGTAACCAATAAAGTTATAGTCCCTGGGGCCAGCAGGTGGTGTGGTGGTTGGGGGCGCTGACTCCCACATGGCTGACCATGGTTCAAGTCCCAACCTGGCGGCTTGCTTTCTCACTTTTCCTATCCCTTTTCTCTCTTTTCTCTCTTGCTCATCAAATGAAAAATAAATAAATAAATAATTCTTAAAAAAAAAAAAAACCAACTGTTTAAAGTTATAGTCCCTAGAAGTATATTGTTTAAGAATTATTTATTTATTTATTACTTTTTCACATGAATTTTTTTTAAGAGGTTTTTGCTATAGAGCATGTGCACTCGCCAGAAAGACAGAGAGAGACAGCGAGACAGAAAGCAAGAAATCACCCCCTGGGGGGATGGCCACGCCGCAATCCATTCTCCTCCATTCTCCTCTCAGGATCTTGGGCACGCACGCACATGTGCCTGGCGTGAGTTTAAGCCACCAGATCCGGGACTCACACTGTGGTTGACTACATGGGAGTCCAGTGACATAGCCTTTACGCCAACTGCTGATCCCTTCACATGAGTTTTACCAGAGAAAGACGGAGAGAGAGTGGGAGAGTGAGAAGGCAAATTGCCAGATCCAGGACTCAGATATGTGGGAATTCGAGCACCTTAACCACCAAATCACCTGCTGGCCCCTCTCTTAAAGTTTTTTGTTTTTTTTCTTTTTTTTTTTAACAAGGTTATTTTTTATTTATTTTTATTTTTATTTTTATTTTTTGCTATAGGGCACATGCGCTCACCAGACAGAGAGAGAGACAGAGAGATAGAAAGCAAGAAATCACCCCCTAGGAGGGATGGCCATGCCACAATCCCTTCTCCTCCATTCTCCTCTCGGGATCTTGGGCACGCACATACATGTGCCCAACGTGAGTTTTAAGCCACGGGGCCTGGGACACGAACCACGGTTGACTACATGTGAGTCCAGCAACATAGCCATTACGCTAACTGCTGGTCCCTCTCTTAAAGGTTTTATGCAATTACTTAAAGTATACAGTTTTAGATACTCATTCTGTAAATACCCAAATCTTGAAAGATTTTCACATTTTGGACTTTTTTCACAGTAATTTTTAAATGATTATGTAATGTAAAAACATTATTTAACTTTTCTAAAATTATTTTTCCTATTTATACAATGAGAACAATACATTGCAAATGATTGTTGTGATAATTATATAACATATATAAAATAATTAACATACTATCTGGCACATTGTAGTGCTAGTAGTCCTTACTAGTATTATGTTAAAACAACTTGACCAATGTAAAAGTAGAAAAAGCTATAAAATCAATTAAAAGTCATTGTTAGAGTCAGACCTTGGAAACTGGGTAATTTAAAATGTTGAAGCCTATTGCATAACATCTGACACATAGCTGGATTTCAAGAAATACCTGTCATTGTCCATATCTTCTACATTCCCCATACATTAGTGTTTTGCCTGTGTAATTACCTACGAAATCCTAACAGAAAAAAAATGACTAATACAAAAGTGGGTGTGGACACAGGTTTCTCAGAGAAATAAAAACTTTTTGAGAGAGATTTTTGCTCTAAGACGTGTGCCCACCAGAGAGACAGAGAGACAGAAAGTGAGAAATCACCCTTCTAGGGGGGATGGCCATGCCACAATCCCTTCTCCTCCACTCTACTCTCGGGGTTTTGGGCACACATGACTGGCATGAGTTTTAAGCTGCCAAATCCAGGACTCAAACCACAATCACTATGTGAAAGTCCAGCAACTTAACTATTACGTCATCTGATGGTCCCAGTAAAAACATTAGGGACCCAGCAGTTGGTGTAATGGCTATGTCGTCAACCATGTAGTCATCCGTGGTTTGAGTCCTGAACCTGGCAGCTTAAACTCACACCAGGTGCGTGTGTATGCATGCCCAAGATCCCAAGGGGAGAAAGGAGGAGAAGGGATTGTGGCATGGCCATCCCCTCTGAGGGGTGATTTCTCGCTTTCTGTCTCTCTGTCTTTTGGGCAAGTGCACACACTCTATAGCCAAAAACCTCTCAAAAAAAAATTTTTTTTTTAAATAAGCAGATGTGAGTTTATTAAGGATCAAAATCTGCAACAATTTCATTTATACTGCAATAAATGTGGGGGTAACCAACTACTTAAAAATTCCAAAAACTGTTAGGATACTAATTTTTTTTTTAGAGGTTTTTGCTATAGGGCGCATGCGCTCACCAGACAGACAGAAAGAGACAGAGAGATAGAAAGCGAGAAATCACCCCCCAGGGGGAATGGCCATGCCGCAATCCCTTCTCCTACACTCTCCTCTTGGGATCTTGGGCACGCACGCACATGCACCCGGCGTGAGTTTTAAGCCACCGGGTCCGGGACGCAAACCGTGGTCAGCTACATGGGAGTCCAGCGACATAGCCATTGCGCTAACTGCTGGTCCCAGGACACTAATTATTTAATATAGTGGCATATATTAAATATGTTATTTAATATAGTAGCATATATTAATATTATTTAATATAGTGGCATATATTAAATAGAGCAAATAGAGCAAAATTTAAAAAAAATAAAGAAAAATAGATTAAAATTGTCTTACTGTCAAGAACAAGACCATTTATTTTACTTGAACATGTGGAGAAACCCATTGACCTTAGGCTCTTGCTCAGAATCCAGCCCACACTACAGAACCAACTAGCCCTATGACTCTGGGCAGGCCATCTTTACATCTGTAGCAGTAGTAGATTTGTATTAATTCTTCTCTGAAGTATGTTCTCATGAGTTTGTTTATCATAAAGAGTATGACTGTTCATAATTTTTTAATCTTTTTCTATGCAAAAGTATAAAAGACTTAATTTCAGGAAACTGTTAAGATACATCATTTGGGAACAACAAAAATATTTACTCATATGTCAGAATTCAAGATGGGCTTGTAAGAACGGAGACTGAAACCAAAGTGTCAGACTTACACATTAGTTATAAATCAACTCAAGAAAACCATTTGCTTATTCAAATTTTACCTTTTTTAGGGACCAGTAGTTAGCGTAATGGCTATGTTGCTGGACTCCCATGTAGTCGACCGTGGTTTGAGTTCTGGACCTGGTGGCTTAAACTCACGCTGGGCGTGTGTGTGTGCGTGCCCAAGATCCCGAGAGGAGAATGGAGGAGAAGGGATTGCGGCATGGCCATGCCCCCTGGGGGTTGATTTCTCACTTTCTGTCTCTCTGCATCTCTCTGTCTTTCTGGCGAGCACACATGCCCTATGGCAAAAATACTCTCCAAAAAAAAAAAAATAACTTTTTAAAAAGAATTTTCTGTTTAATTTTATTTATGTATTATTATTAATTATCATTATTATTATTCTTGAGTTTCTTATAGGGCATGTGCACCCACCAGAGAGAGAGAAAAAATGAGAAAGCAAGCCACTAGGTCCAGAGTTGGCCATGTGGGAGTCCAGTGTCTTACCACCACCTGTTGGCTCCCAAATTTTACCTTTAAGAATACCATGCAGGGACCAGCAGGTGGCATAATGGTTTCGTCACTGCACTCTCACATAGTCAACCATGGTTCAAGTCCTGGCCCCGGCAACTTAAAACTCATGGTGGTCGCATGTGTGTGCATGCCCAAAATCCCAGGAGGAGAATGGAGAGAAGGGATTTCAGCATGGCCAGCCCCCAGGGTGGTTAATTTCTCGCTTTCTGTCTCTCTGTATCTCTCTGTCTCTCTGGTTATTACACACGCCCTATAGCAAAAATCTGTCAATAAAAAAAAAAAAAAAGAGTACCGTGTACTCAGTTGCTCAAGATCGTAATCATTGGCAGTTAGCTACTTGTTCTATTTTTAAAATTTTATCTTAGTAAGTTATCATTAGTCAGTTATAGTAATCTAAAAATCTTTATTGAACTCTCAGTAATTGTAGATAATACTATATAGTTCTTGTGGAACCAGCAGTTAACATAATGGCTATGTCACTGGACTCCCATGTAGTTGACTGTGGTTCGAGTCTCAGACCCGGTGACTTAAACTCACGCCGGGCACATGTGCATGCGTGCCCAAGATCCCAAGAGGAGAATGGAGGAGAAGGAATTGCGGTGTGGCCATCCCCCCTCGGGGGCGTGATTTCTCGCTTTCTGTCTTTCTGTCAAGCGCATGTAGCAAAAACCTCTCAAAAAATAAAATAAAATACTAAATAGTTTTATACTTGCTTCATGACAGATTCTTTTTTTAACCTTTTTTTTTTCAATTTCCTGTTTGCTCGTCTATAATACCCTGCTATATTTCAAGATATTTTACTAATATAGATATTGCATTTTCTCTTTTTCGGTAGCATCTTATATGAACAAGCCTCACAGTGTCAATGAGTATCATACTGTTCAGCCTATGGACAGTGTGTGCTGGCCTCTTCCCAGCCAGGTACCTCCTGTGTCTACACCAGTAACTGAACTTTCTCGAATTTGTTCTCTTGTCGGAATGCCACAACCAGATTTCTCCTTCCTTAGAGCACCACAGGTATAGTATAATTCTGTTCCCGTTATATGAGTTGTTTAATTTCAGCTCAATTAAATTGACTGAAAATCTTGACTACAAAAAATATAATGGGCTTTTTCTAACATAATGGGCAGCATAAATTTACGCTTCTCAATCTAGCTGTTCCTTTTACTTACAACGGGCCCTCAAAGAAACTAACAGAGGAGAACAGGGGCAACAGATAGCCTGATAAGATTTTTCAGTATTATAGAGCTAAGGGTCTGGATATCAATTTATTATTTATTAAAGGTAACTTTTGAAAAAGAATATTTAGCAAAGAGTGGTATTGTACTATATTTCTAAAATCTTTTCTTTTTTTAAAGAATCATTTGTTTAATTTTAATTTTATTTCTTCATTATTTTAATTTGACTAGAGAGAGAGAGGGAGAGAGGGAAAATGAGAAAGCAAGCCACCAGGGGACCAGCAGTTGGTGTAATGGCTATGTCACTGGACTCCCATGTAGTCAACCACAGTTTGAGTTCCAGACGCAGTGGCTTAAACTCACGTCGGGCATGTGTGCGTGTGCGCCCAAGATCCCGAGAGGAGAATGGAGAAGGGAATGCGGCGTGGCCATCCCCCCGAGTGGTGATTTCTCTCTTTTTGTCTCTCTCTCTCTGTTGTTCTGGTGAGCGCATGCACCCTATAGAAAAAAACTCTCCAAAAAAATAAAAGAAGGAAAGAAAGCCACCAGGTCCGGGACTCGAACTGTGGTTAGCTATGTGGGAGTGTTCAGTGCCTTAACCACCATGCCACCTGCTGGTCCCTCTAAAACCTTTTCTACCTCTAGCTTAATAAAAGAAGCTAGATTCTTATATCTACTTCTTACTATTAATCTATGTGATACGTTATTTTGGTAGAAGTATGGCCTCATATAGATGCATATTTAGAAAAAGAGAAACCTTAATAGCCTTTTCAGGTAATAATGACTATTCCTTGATACTACATTAAAACTTAAATGATATTCTCTTAAAGATTAGTAGTAATGTGGAATTTGAAACCATATCAATGGACTTTTGTTCTCTGTATACTTGTGAGAAAATGAGAAAAGGCAGAAAGCATCTTAGTATTGTTATGAAAACAGTTTTAACTTTACCTCCTAAAAGGGTCTCCTAGATCAAGAGTCCATGGACTATACTTTGAGAGAGACTCTGTACAAGAAAGATTATTTAATCTTCTTTGTGTGAGTTTTTACTATTTTCTCTCCTAAAACAGAAAGCAGTTTCTTTTATGATCAGAAGCAAGACAAGAATGCCTATTTTTTTCACCACTTCTATTTAACATGTGGAAGTTCTAGCCAGAGCAGTTAGTCAAGAAAAAGGAAATTAAAGAAATCCAAATTACAAAGGAAGTAAAATTATCTATGACAGATGATATGATTTTATATGTAGAAACCATGAAGGAACCCAGGCAAACAACTACTAGAACTAATAAACAAATTCAGCAAAGTTATAGGATACAAAATCAGCACATAAAAATCAATTTAACTTCTATACACTAACAGCAAACAATCTGAAAAGGAAATTGGGAAAATAATTCCATTATAATAAAATACTTAGGAATAAACTTAAAGGAAGCAAAAAGTTTAAACTGAAAACTCAAAATATTGCTCAGTAAAACTAAAGAATGTATTAAAAATTAGAAGACATTGCATGTTCATGTTTTGGAAGACTTGATATTGTTAAAATGTCAGTGCTACCAAATGTGATCTACAGATTCAATGCAATCCCTATTAAAATCCCAGTGGAACAGAATAGAAAGCCCAAAAATATATGGTCAAGTGATAATTTTTTGCAAGAGTGCCAAGATTCTATGGGGAAAGAACAGTCTTTTCACCAGATGGTGCTAGGAAAACTGAAAATGCATGTGTAAAAGATTGTAGTGGGACCCTTACCTAATACTGTAACCTAAAATTAACTCAAAATAGATTGAAGACCTATATATAAGATCTAAAACTATGGAGCCAGCAGTGGTGTAGTGGTTAAGATGCTGGACTCCCCACATGGCCAACCGCAGTTCAAGTGCCAGACCTGGAAGCTTAAAACTCATGGTAGGCACACGCATGTTCCTGCCCAAAATGCTGAGAGGAGAATGGAGAAGGGATTGCAGGGTGGCCACATCCCTGGGTGGGTAATTTATTTTCTGTCTCTCCAGCGAGCGCACGTGCACTCTATAGCAAAAAACTCTAAAAAAACAAAAAACTCTTAGAAGAAAACAGGTCAAAAATGTTACAACATTGGATCTCATAGCAATTTCTTAGCTATGACACCAAAGGTACAAGCAACAGAAGAAAAAATTGTACTTTATGAAAATTTTAAAATTCTGTACATCAAAAGATGATAGCAGAACTAGCTTTTTGGCACAGAAGTAATGTATTACTCAGAAGATGCTGAATCCCACATGGCAACCATGGTTGGAATCCCTGGTCTGGTCAGCCTAAAACATGCCAGGCATGTACACAAGTGCCTAACATTCAACTGGCTGGAGTAAGATTACAGCATGACCAGACCTTGTAGAGGGCGCTCTGATTTATCTAGCCATCTACCTACCTACCTACTACCAACCTGTCTCTCTTTCTTTTATATATGTGTGGTTTATCATTAGTTTTTTGTTTTTTGTTTTTTTTCCGTGAAAGGACAATAACAGTAAAAAAAAAAAAAAAAAAAAAAAAAAAAAAGCAGATTACAAAAGTATAACTATTAACCTTATATCAAGGTCGTGGCCAACCACACAGTTCAAGTCCCAGACCTGGTGGCTTGAAAATCACACCAGATGGTTGTGCATGCATGCCCAAAACCCTGAGAGGAGAATGGAGAAGAAGGGACTGCAGCATGGCTGTCCCCCACTTCTCACCTTTTCCCTCTCTGTCGCTTTTGAGTCCACATGCCCTATGGCCAAAAAGTTAAAAAAATAAAAATAAAAAAGGTAACCCATAGAGTAAGAGAAAATATTTGTTAATAGTATATATAGTAAGGGAATAATTTTCAGAATGTATAGGAAACTCCTAGGTGGCCAGCAAGTGGCGTGATGGTTAAGGCACTGGACTACCACATGACCAACTATGATTCAAGTCCTGGACCTGGCAGCTTGTTTTCTCATTTTCTCTCTGTCTCTCTGGTGGGTGTATATGTGGAAAATTAAAAATTAATTAGTGATTAATTAAATTAAGTCAATAGTTCTTTTTTTAAAAAAGAAAAAACTAGGGACCAGCAGTTAGCGTAATGGCTATGTCGCTAGACTCCCATGTAGTCCACCGCGGTTTGCGTCCTGGACCCGGTGGCTTAAAACTCACGCCGGGCACGTGTGCGTGCGTGCCCAAGATCCCAAGAGGAGAATGGAGGAGAAGGGATTGCGGCGTGACCATCCCCCCTGGGGGTGATTTCTCGCTTTCTGTCTCTCTGTCTGGCGAGCGCACACGCCCTATAGCGAAAACCTCTCAAAAAAAAAAAAAAGAAAAAGAAAAAACTAAAACTCAGTAACAACACAGATTCAAAAATAGGTATGCCTATTTCTGTGTCTATCTATTAAATACACTTTTTTTTTTTACTTCACATGCATTAGGATAGCTGCTGTTAAAAATAAGCAAATAACAAACATTGACAAGGATATGGAGATATTGGAACCCTTGTGCATTGTTGATGGGAATGTAGAATGGTACAACCCTTGTGGAAAACATTATAGTGGTTCCTCAAAAAGTTAAAAGTAAGGACCAGCAGTTAGCGTAATGGCTATGTCGCTGGACTCCCATGTAGTTGACCACGGTTCAAGTCCCGGACCCTGTGGCTTAAACTCATGCTGGGTGCGTGTGTGTGTGTGTGTGTGTGCCTAAGATCCCAAGAGGAGAGTGGAGGAGAAGGGACTGCGGCATGGCCATCCCTCCTGGGGGGTGATTTCTGGCTTTCTGTCTCTCTGTCTCTCTCTCTCTCTCTTTCTGGCAAGTACGTGCGCCCTATAGTAAAAACCTCTCCAAAAAAGAAAAAAAAAAGTTAAAAGTAGAATTTCTATATTATCCAATAATTCCACCTCTGGGTATATATACCCAAAAGAATTGAAAACAGGTTTTGGAAGAGATATTTGTGTACCCGTATTCATAGCAGCATTATTCATAAGAGCCAAAATGTGGAATCCTCCATCAAGGGATGAATGGAGAGATACCATATAAATGGCATATTTATACAATGGAATATTATATATCCTTAAAAAAGAAAATCCTAACATTCTACAACATGAATGAACCATGACTACAGTATTATAAGTGATATAAACCAGTCTCAAAGACACACTGGTTCCATTCATCTGAGGTACATAGAATGGTCAAAATAACAGAGTAGACAGTAGAACAGTGGCTGCCAGGAACTAGGAAAAGGGAGAAAAGGAGAGTTATTTGTTTAATGGGTAGAGTTTCAGTGTAACACGATGAAAAGACTTACGGAAATAAGGATAGTGGTGATGGACACGAGATATGGTCTGTGTACTTAATACCACAGAGCTGCACACTTCAAAATGGTTACGATGGAGACCAACAGGTGGCATGGTGGTTAGGACGCAAGATCTCACATGACCAACTCCACAGTTCAAGTCCTGAACCCAGCAGCTTGAAAACCACACCAGGCACATGTGAATGTGTGCCAAAAATCCCGAAAGGAGAATAGAGGAGAAGGGGTTGCTGTATGGCTATCCCACCTAGTGGGTGATTTCTCACTTTCCCTTTCTTTCTGTCTCTCTCCAGCAAGTACACTCACACTATGGCAAAAAATCTAAAAAAAAAAGAAATAAAAAAAAAAGCCCACAATAAAAATAATTAAGAAAAAACTAGAACAAGATTAAACTAATAGTATTACATGAAAATAACTGAGTTTGGGGTTAAACTGAAAATTTTTAAAAAGTCTTATAAAACAAAAGTATAATGTAAAAAATTACTTAAATATAAATAAAATCATTCAGAATCTCTGAGTCATTTAGATTTTGTCATTTCATTTTAGCAAAATATCTGCTAATTAGAAAATGCTATAAATCATCTATCAGCAGTTTTTCGTTTGTTAAGGGTCTGATGGTAAGAGCTTTAGGCCTTATGGGCTACATGCTCTCCATTACAACTTCTCAACTCCACAGATCCGGTATGAAAATAGCTGTATGTAGTGCATCAAAGAATAGATGTGGCTTTTATTTTGTTTTAGTTTTGTTTGCCTTTTTTATTTCCCAAGAAAGGGGGGACTCCATAGTTTACCAAGCTTGCTGACTTTCATCTGCACTAGTATGCTTAATCTTTCATCTAGCTTAGAGACCTTCTTATTCTGTGAACATTAAAAGATAACAGGCAACAATGATTACATTTTTGTGTGGTAACCCAAACCTTAAACTGTGAGTTCTTTTTAGAGTTTTTGACTTCTTTTTTACAGAATGTGAGAGAAAATTATTCTGCTTGTTTAGACAATGTTTTAGGGAAGGAAATCAACTTCCTATACAGATGATTTCATAGACCTTCATATTCTCGTTTTTTAGACAATGACAGTTTGCCAGGTAAAATTATCTAATGGCCTGTTGGTGCATGGGCCACAGTGTCACTCTGAAAATGAAGCCAAGGAGAAAGCTGCACTCTTTGCTTTACAACACTTGGTAAGAACTATCCATGATCTTCCCTATTAAATTTTAATTAGTCTCTATAGGAAGTTTCTGTTGCATTCTCTTAAAACTTTTAAATCCTTCCACAGGGGTCCTTAGGAGTGAATTTTCCTTTGCCGCCACCAATATTTTCAAATTATCCTACTGCTGTGCCACCTGGAAGCATTCCTCCAGTTTTTCCCCAACCTACTGGTATGATATTTTGCTTTTCTGAATATTTGTCATTTGTTATTATTTTTCCTAAGTTCTATTAAGAAGCATATTATTTATTTAATGTGAATAGTTCTTTATTGATTCTGGTGACTTCAGAAAAAAATTCATGTAACTTATAATCTTATATACTTGCTTATATAAAATCTATTTCTGATATTATTGTAGAATAAGTTGTAAAAGTGTGAATACAGAAATTGGTTTTCTTCGCCTTTTTTTTCCCGAAATTAATTAAAATTTATTTATTTATTTATTTATTTATTTATTTTAATTGACTAGGGAGGGATAAAGTGAGAGAGAGAGAGAAAGTGATAAAGCAAGCCACCATGTCTGGGACTCTAGCTGTGGTCAGCCATGTGGGAGTCCAGCATTCCTAACTAACCACCATGCCACCTGCTGGCCCCCAAATTTTGTTTTCTTAATTAGAGTCAGCAAAACAAACAATGAAGCTGAGATACAAGTTAAGAGAATAAGTATCTTGGGGCTGGCAGGCGGCATAGTGGTTAAAGGCAGTAGATTCCCACATGGTCGTCTCCAGACCTGGTGACTTGCATTCTTGTTTTCCCTTTCTCTCTGTCTCTCTCTAGTCAAATTAAAATAATAATAATAACAAATGGAATTAAATAAAGAAATAATTCTTTTTTAAAAAGAATAAGTATCTTCACATCATTTTTAAGAAATGGCAATATGCTGGTGTCTTGATTGTCACTGTCTAATGCAGTAGTTCCCAAATGCTTCACTGGTGTTGACTGTCTGCATAAGAATCCCCTGGGGCACTTGTTAATAGTACAGATCCCGGGCCCCCATAGACTGACTATGTCTGAAACCTCCCAACCCAGGAGTCTATATTTCACAAGCTGCTAAGGTGGTTCAGATACACAAATGAGGTTTGCGAACCAGTAGTTAAACATGGTTTTTTAAAATAAATAATACAGGGGGACAGCAGGTGGTGTAGTGGTTACACCACTGGACCCCCACATGGCCAACTACAGTTGGGGTCCCAGACCTGGCGACTTAAAACTCACACCAGCCGCGTGCGGATGAGTGCCCAAGATCCCAGGAGGAGGATGGAGGAGAAAGGATTGCAGCGTGGCCATCTCCCCCTAAGGGGTGATTTCTCACTTTCCCTCTCACTGTCTCTGTCTCTCTCTGGCGAGCACACATGCCCTAAGGCAAAAACCTCTAAAAATAAATGAATAATACATGAAAGAAATCCTTGAATTACAAATATTACAATTGGGAAAAGATCCTTTATGTCATATGAAAGCAATCAGATTTGAAGACTTGAGCTTTTCTGATTCTTTTGTAGGCTGGGATCACTATGGAGGCAACTTAGCCTTGGGGGCAGGTGAGATCCTTAAGATTTCTCTCTCTGTGCGCAGGCTGTTCTCTCCCAAGGGCATGTCATGACCCCGGCTTTATAAGTACTTCTAGAGTGCATTCCACCCTCTGGTACTGTTGTTCTCTGAGGCCAGTATAATGTAAAGGTGTTTCCGTAGATGACTGACAGCCCTAGGAGAGCACCTAAGGTTCAACATTGCAAGCAAGAGTAATCGTAAAGTGTAGGCTTCTGCCAAAGAGGGAAAAAAGGCTAAGAGAAGGGGGTCCCAATTTTCAACATCTCGACAAATACCATTTTATTAAAACATGTTCTCCTGTGGTTTTTAACAGCTAACATAATGCCTTCCTCATCTCATCTCTTTGGCTCGATGCCATGGGGACCACAAGTGCCAGTTCCTGGGAAGCCCTTCCATCATGCTTCATACTCTGGGACCATGCCCGTGGCTGGGGGAATGCCAGGTGGTGTGCACAATCAGTTCATACCTCTGCAGGTGAGACATGGAAAGAGAATTACTTCTTAAAATGCTAAAGACTATTGATAAAAAAATGTGTACTCATTTTATTCCCTGCCAATTGGAGGTCCAGTACTAGGCTGGGCACTGAGAACTGAATGGCATCAAGTCTGACCTGGTCCTGCTCTCTGAATATGTGCTCTAATAAATATGGGTCCTTGTAGCAAGTAATTGCATGCTGTTCTGACACAAAGTGATTGCACATGAGGAACATAAAATGCTTCACTTCTTTAACTCACGGAAAAATTCTAAATTTTCTTTTTGTAGCTAAATTCTTAGAATACTGAAGTCTGTTTTGCAAATTTTAAGTGGAAGTTACAAATCAGCAGTGAATGGGGGCCCACAGGTGGCATGGTCATTAAGGGCACTGGACTCCCACATGGCCAGCTGCAGTTTGAGTGCCAGGCCTGACAGCTTACCTTCTCACTTTCTCTTTCTCCCTCTCATTCTGTCCCTCTCTGGTCAAATTAAAATTAATTAATTCATTCATTCATTAAAATAACTATTTAAAAAAATCAGCAGTGAATGACAAATATTAGCAGCATGGTTTATAGTATTTTCTGACTCTAGCTTTTTTGACCTACATTGATAATCAGTGATGCTTTTGTTCCTTAAAGGTTACTAAAAAAAGGGTTGCAAACAAAAAGAACCTTGAAAATAAAGAAGCCCAGAGTTCTTCTCAAACCACCCCATCTCAGACTAGCCAGCCAGGGCCTGCTAGTGTCACCAAAGCGATTCCACAGGAGAGCTCGTCAGCTTCCTTACAGTCCTCGCAGGGCGTTCACCCTGCACCACCTTTCCAAGCTGAAGCTGCCTCTCACGGCCACAGTACGCCTCACCATAAGTCAACCACAAGCTCTTCAAGAAGAAAATCACGAAAACTGGCTGTCAATTTTGGTGTTTCTAAACCGTCAGAATGAATTTGGTACTTGGGATTAAATAAGTTTTTCTTCTGTCCATCCACCTTTTATAAATCCATATCCATATGTCATGAAAAATTAGAATGTACTGTTTTAAAATAATATGTTTAAATTGAAGACTTTTTATCTTTAAGTTATCAGGCACTTTTCATGCTGTTTAAAAGACTATATTTCAAATTATGCACTTTAAATATGTGCAGTTTGTTGTACGTCAGTTATACCTCAGTAAAGCTGTGGGGAAAAGGCTAAATTAAACCTTGTTTAACGTAAGTGGATTAAGCATGAAATTTGCCACTCTAACTTCACTCCACCATTAGAAGCATCCTGAACTATGAATTAGACATCGTATTAGCAATAACAACGTTTTTTACACTATCATTGAAGGATAACTAAATGGAGCATGAAAATCAGGCCTCAAGTATAATTTTCTGAACGTGGATTTCATTTCTTTTTTTAATGATGCAACAAAATTTTCAGGAGGAATGCGTCTTATTTATGTGTATTTTAACTTCAGTTTTGTTGTCTCTGAGGGTCCTTTAGACCTGCTGTGAAATGATCACACTTGTTGTGGTGCTGCCAGTTTTGCTTTACTCTCAATTTTGTACCAAAGCGACTTTAGAATACTGATGAGAATATTACAACTAACTGCTTAGAACTGTAAATCGCAATCAAGATTTGAGTAAGTACAGTTTTTTAAATTATTCAAGAACCAGCATTAGTCATTTCTAATGAAATTAAGTCTCAAAATCGAAGGGACTATGCTAACAGATTAATCTACTAGGATAAAGAAAAAATGTTAATCATCTAGTTATTTAAAGCACATTGTGCTGTTTTGTAGAGCTTTTTACCTGCTTTCTTAATCTATGAGAGTGCCATCACTGGTATGTGTGCAGTGCTTCCTGGGCTTAGGAAATTCTAAATGCAGAACAGCCCCAAGGTGCGCCGTGACACGGGCGCGACCCTTAGTTTGTGGTGTACGTTATTTACTGCCTGTCTCGTTCTCGTTCTCTGTTTTTAGCTCTGTGCTGAGCTGTTCCATGATGCTGGCGTTTTGTCATGCTCTGTGTGGATATGTGTTGTTCAAGCTATGACCGTTTTAAAATTAGAACTCAAGAAAGTTTCTCAGCGATATCAGGGCCTGAGTTTTTATATACATATATATATTTATCCTTTAGTTTTTGTGAATGCTTATATTTTTAAGGAAGTAAGTATCATACTTTTTTAAAAGTAGGAACCACAGTCTTTCTATGGAGCTGCTTATTATCACATCTGATTGCATTTAGCTCGTTGGAACTCTGCCTTGGGTTTTGTAGTAGTCTGTGCTGGCAGTGAACTAAGTGGATTCCTTTCTCCAGTTGATAGCTTCAGAGTTTCTCTAAATATTAGGATATTTGTATGTTAGTAGTGCCTTTTATATAAAAGAAGTGTTCATTATCTGTCATTTATTTTAGTCATATGAGTTTCTGTGATTTTATTTTCTGTTAACTTCTTCGGGTCAGATGTTCATCAGTTCCCAACATTTCCCTATTTCTTTAGTAGTGGAATCTTGAGTAACGAAGCTCAGGTAATTCTCAGTGTTTATTGCCTCACAAACTTGGTTTTAAAAGAGAATGTCTATTATGGGAATAGAAGGAAAAGCTTGAGGGTGACAATAATATTACATTAACCTCTTCTGACTTTAAAGTGTATAATATTTTTCACCTCACTTAACTATACGAATTCCAGCGCTCAAGGATTGCCTCACCACTGCTCCTATAGGGCAGTTCTGTAAATGTTTACAGCCCACATCCACCGTAGGGCACAGAGGAGGAGCACATGCCATCTTCTGAAAGCCCTGGAGGAATTTTAGTTGGCATAGTACCGCTGAACCCGTAGGATATTTTCCCAGTCTTGAGCACAACGAGCTGAATAATTCGATATGACAAGATAGTAAAAGTGGTTTTTTTCCTTTTTTTTTTTTTTTTTTTTTTGGTAAATATATAATTCCAAAGGTAAATTTTTTTGGG